GGCATGAACCCTCAACCAACAAGACGTGGAGGGATGATGTGCACGATCCTCTATCCAGACCTGGCTAATATAGACCGTACAGATGATTTTTGGGACCATGGATTCCAAAATTAAAATTATAATTGTTTTCTTGCAGCGTAAAGGAAAAAAAAGAATCTCTGGATCCAGAAGGGCACAACTGTGGTCCTCTGTGCCTTCCCCATACCACCAGCTCCTTGACAAACAGCTCATTTGCTATTCTCTCCCAAGGGACCACACAACTCTACCAACAGTAATAGACCACACTGCAGCTTGTGAACAACAGACACCACCTCCCTTTCTCCAATGTCCCTTGATACAAAGGACAAAGCAATGACTGTACAAGCGTCACCAATCCATGCTGCTTGGCTGATCAACATCATGCCAGGCAGATACATACCACAGCTTCTACTGGAAGGCAGCAGGAGCAGCTCCCAGCAGCAGAATGCCCTGCTTTGTCCCGAAATGGAGCACAGCCCTCTCACCCTTTGCCATATTCCAACCCGCCTTCCCGGCTCCTAGCCTTCAGCCCTTTAACACCCACAGTTTTTTCCACTGTTCTGTGAAGCGATGAGAAATCCCCTGCCAGAGGACATTGTTCAAATGGGTTATTGAAAAGAAACGCAACTCCCTACTCCAGGCGAATAAGCTCCTTCTTTCCCCTTGAGGAAGAAGGATAATAGCACAGCCAGGGAAAAAAAAAACTATCCCCAAAGCCTGCTGTAATAATATTAAATAAGAAACTGAAGGGGTTTGAACAGGAAAATCCCAAGTTCAAAAGAATAACTGCTCCAAGAGATTTAAGCCTACAGCTGAGTCACTAAACTGAAGAAACCTTTCCTTGTCCATAGAAAGCAAACAAATCTTTGGTCATGCAGCAAAGCTTCTGTATGTCCTTGTTAGAAAAAAAGAAGAAAGAAGCCAAATGCAATTAATCATAGTCCCAGAAGAAAGGATGAAATCTCTGTAATTAGCTACCTAGGCTCATCTTTCCACTTTTAAAGACTAATCCAGCCGCCTTCTTTCACCTTTCATCCACAGCACTGCCTTGAAAGTCTACTGCAAATACCAAATCAGTTCTCTTCAGGGGTACACACTCACCTGCAGCCTGTGGTCCCCTAACAGCTTTGCAATAAGTGTAGAGGGAGGTGGGAAAATTTGCAGGGAGCAAACAGAGTTCCTTTTCTTAGTCACCTTTTGTGTATGAGCTGGCATGGTGTTTTCAGACTATCCAAGAACCTGGGGACCTTGGCTAGTCTACAGGCATTATTTTCAAGCTAGGTATTTTATATTAACAATCCAATCCAATGACCAGAAAACACTAATTTTTATTTATTTATTTATTTAAAAATCAAACAAGAAACCCAAAACAAAAAACCCAACATAGAAACATGAAAACATTTTCCAAATGGTTAATATCGCAACTGCTTGTGTTAATAAATTGGTTTAAACCTTATCCTCATGTGGTGTAAATTTGCCTGACCATCACTCTACCCGTAACAAGTGTGTACTTCACAACTGTACGCACTGTCTGTACAAGAAGCAAGTGGACAGGGCTATATATTAAGAGCAAGGTCTCCAGCAGTTAAATTCAATAAGTAAAGCAAGCAGCTCCTTTAATTGCAAAGGAAAAGCCATGCTCTATAGACGAAACCTACCCAGGTCTAAAAGTCACAATTCCTTTTCTACACCTTAATTCAAAGTTTTGGAAAACATGGGGGAAAAGTATAGTACTTCAGAGAGAGGAAGGGCTGTAGACAGTGGGTACAGCTTAGGAGTGGAGGTCAGGATCCAACATCCAAAAAAATCCTATGCAAATCAAAACAGCCATTCAACTTTCCTGGGGCTCCCTTAATAAATAACGGTTGACAAATATTATTCCAACAATAAAAACAACAACAGACTGGCTCCTTAGGTCAAATGCATCAATGGTAAATACAGTACAGTGGCATAATACCAAAATGACATCAGCTGAGGAACTGAGACTGGTTTCTGCCCTGTCTCTTGTACACAAACCACTGCTAATGTATGAATAATGCTGTCAACAGACAGGGAAAGCTGGCCAGCTTTGTAGTAAGGGAAAGCGAAGAACACAGACTGGACAGAAGTCTCCAGCTTTGCTCTTCCATGACATAGCAGAAATCCTTATTTTCAGAGGAAGGAGAATGGGAAATTCTTCTGTGAAAAAGATGGAAGTAATTATGCAGCTCCAAGTACAGCTGGAGCCTTCCTGTACAAACGTGGCAAACAGAGAGGGATGATTAACAGCCAGTCTGTGGGATATGGCACCAAGGTCAAGGAGCCCCGGGTATGACCATAATGCAACACCCACTGCTTTCCCTCCAAGTTAGTGCTTCAGACACAGTCAGAGGTGCTGGGGATGCTCTGGAGGCTATTTGGTGGCATGGAGCTGTCTTCACCTGCCCACTCACCAAGAGCATCAGCCAAAAGGCTAAAAATCAGTAGGTTGCTCCTCCTTTTCTTTGCACAGAAATCTGGCAGAGGAGCTAAGCACAGTATCAAAGGGAAGGTGGGATTTGATTGCAGCAAAGGTTGCTACCAAACATCCAGAGCAATCTTCTCAGTCTCAAGCTGCTGTTTATAAAATCCCATCAGCCCTCTGCATGTCAGGGTGGTTCAGAAGGATCTTGCCAGTGCGTTGGGCTTTGTCCCTTTTTAATAGGAATTCCTACCATCCTTCCACGAGGATGCACAGATCCTCATGCAGAAAACGAAATGCCGCCGGCAGACAGGCTGCTTTCCCTAGTACTTCTACAGGACTGAAGAGCCAGCCCCGAAATGTCTGCGATGTCAGGCATGAACTGCGAGCCGACGCTGCCCTCCGCCGGATGCAAGGGAAATAACTCACTGTGATGGGAAAGTCAAAAGCTACGTAGTTCTCCAAGCGCAGGTCCCTTACTTTTCTGTAATTACCACCAATATTCACTTTCCTCAGTGTTATGTTGCAGGCACTGATGTAAAGGCCAGAAGCTTCCAAAATAAGAGTCGTCTGGAAACATTCTGTTGTCTGACAGCATCAAGTCCCAACATCCAAATGCTGGAATGCATTCAAGTATCCCTAAATAGTGAATTGAAACAGGGGATTCTCTACTACTACTGATTTTTCCATAAACCAGCAACTGATGCACACGCTGGAAAGTGAAACCCCATAATTTTTTCCTAAACAACAGTTCTTAAATATGGGCATATAATCAAAGATTAAGGAGGGAACTGAGGTAACCTTTATTTTCAGACAGTTGACATGCAGAAGGGATACAATCACTGTATTTGATTAAAAATAATACTAATTAAAACCCTACCCAAGCATCAACAGCTATAAAAACTTTAAAATCCTGAATTGTTATGTACATCCCCAATTTTCATTTTGTGCCCTATATTCAACTACAAAATGAATCCTTCTAGCCAGCCTTGTGTCAATTCACAAACACAGAACAGGCACCAACCACAAAATAATTAAAGAAAACCTTTCAGGTTTCAAGTGAGATGAAGAAAACTCCTGAGATTGTCTGCAGCAATTAATTTGACCCAATGCTGCCAAGGTACAGCAGCAAACAGAGTTTTCAGGGGCTACTCCCTAAAGCAGCAAGGTTAAAGTATTCTAATCATTAACCTTTGCAAAGATTTGAGACGCAAAGTAGTATTGCTGCAGCACCTGAATGCATGTGGACACACAACAGGGTTCAGAGAGCAATGTGTGACGCCTATCACCATAATGGAGCATGCCCTAAGCACGTATCACCTCATACAGTCCACGGTGCTTATGGCACTAGGACAAAGATCATGATAAAAAAAAAAAAAAAAGAAAAAAAAAATCAATGACATTTAACTTCACTGCCTGGAGTTCATGAAAGTTGTTTTTTAACAAGATAGCATTGCAGTACAAAGGAAGGGAGGTGGGACATAGACTGGTAAGGTGGTCCTGGATCACCATGGTGGTGAGAAGGAGTGTCAGGAACACTGGTGGGCAAGCCCACAGTGATATCTAGTGGACACTGACCCCTGCCAGGGACACTGACCAACCCTTGCCAGTGACAAGGCAGATTCACTAAACCTAGAGCTTCTCCTAGTGATTTTCAACCACTATTCTACACTGTAGCACAGCTCTAATGCTCACAATGTTCGAAAAAAGTTATTTCCATGCTCACCTGATTCTGCAGAAGCAAGTGTCCATAATAAAAGAAGCAGAGTAAAATAAATGCTCAAAAATTCACAAGGGTTTTTGTTTGGTCTTTTTTTGCTCCTACTAGAGAGATGCTGGGTAATCTTCCAGGAAGATCATAGCCACGTGTACTACCCTGCCTGCAAAGTTCTCTGACACACCACACCTTTTGTGCTTCCTCTACTAATAATGAACTGATACTGGTACATTCAGTAAAATCAGGCATTTCTTTCCTGTTGCAGCACATAAGAGAAGGTGTCAGCCTGCTACAATGTGCCAGACTGCACAAAGCAAACAGGGAAATGGCAGGCATGGGCTTCATCTTGCTGGGACAGGGCTAGACCTCCTCACTCTTTTCCCCCACTGTCCCAGGCTTGTCTTCCCATTTCCCAAGCATCCCCCAAGTGCACCAATTTCCCCACAAGCTTCACACTGCTCCTTATTTCCATTTCTCAGTTGTACAACACTGTTTCTTAAAAGCAGGCTATGTAGCACGTGCTGCTTTCCAGCACACTCAGCCCCAAAGAGAACAACCAGGAGACAGACAGACTCCATTTCCCAATCCAACTTGTTTTTAAATCAATTTAAGTAGACACAGATGAGATTTTCGACAAGGTCTCCTTAAAAACCATGGAAATAGTTCTTTGTAGCAGTACCGAAAGCAAAATTTTGAGTTCTGGTATGATCCTCTACTGCCACCAGCAGTAAAATACCATCAAAAGCTGAGAAAGAAGCAAAATACCCCTTAGCAGCTCCTTCAATGGTTGCAACAAGGCCAACACTGAACAAGTGGGGCACTCACCCAAATTTGGTGGAGAGGACACCTCCTAGGACAGAGCCGATGATGATGCCTATTCCAAAGCAAAGACCCAGCTTCCCCAAAGCATCAGCACGTTGGGAAGGAGTAGTCATGTCTGTAATAACCTTCTGAGCACCTGCAGAGAAAAACAAATCCCTAGAAGAAGCTTGCCACAGGGTCTGAGCAGCAAACACACAAATTTTTAGGCCACAGAAACAGCACCTGCCACAGAACTGTCCTTGCACACCACTGGTGTGGAATTGGTTCAGCTTGTCAGTCATAGGAAACAAAATCACTCAAGCCACTTCACAAAAGGCAAGAAGAGTCTTAACATGCTATCAACCTAACTCCTCTTGTGTGAGTTCAGAGACTTCTAGTAGCTAAAGGTTTATGGTTTTTACTAGAAACATCTAGGAAAGATCAATAAAATCAGAACAGCTTAGTGTGTAATTGAAGGTATTTTTTGCAATCATGTTTCATTTTGAACAATACACTCACTTTACCATGAGAAAAGGAAAAGCTGTCCTATAAAATATCATGGTTGCAAGAAGGCAGCTGAGAAGTTTGGGACGGCACTGCTGCCAACAAGTGATTGTCACCTGTGTCTGAATGGTGAAGTCCAAGCAATTTGCACAAGATCATACAGGAGGATGGACCTGGGACTACAGGCTAATAGCCCTGCTTTCCATAAACTAATAAACCTGTTCCTTCATGTTCTTACCATTTCACCCGTGATAACCATCAAATGTTTCTCCTGCCTTCCTTCATGCTGTTGAGCCTGTTGACTTGAGCAATGCGAGCAAGGAGAGAGGACTCTGGCAATAAAAGCAATTTGGAAAACTCCTCAGCCCTGACCTACGTTACCTGGTAGCCCATGCATGAACACTGCTGGCAGCCTGGAGAGGAAGAGGAGGGGGATGCTGGTGGAGATGGACATAAGCAGGAAGAAGGCACTTCCAGATGCACAGGAAAGAATTAAGGCTGCTCGGCCACCAAATTTATCTGCAAACCTAGTACAGAAATGATACAAGGCTGTCAGAAGTGGGACTATGCAGGTCATTGCAAGAGTGATGCACCCAGATGGATGGAGTTGCATGGCCACCTCACTCTCATTCACCATGGGAAGCACTGGTCAGATTCTCAGAAGTGCTCAGTTCCCAAGAGGACTAGATATTCAGAGACGATAACACAAAACAAAACAAGCAAAAAACCCCAACAAATGAAAAACCAAAACAAGCCCCCCACCTTCCCCAGTGTAAGTCTTGCCTGGAGGAGGAGTGCAAGGACCACTACTGAAGCACCAGCTGCCCACCCGGGAATGCAGGGACATACACTTTGAAATAACAGGGGAATACACCAGCAACGGCCATCTCTTAGCCTACTTCCAGACCCTTCATAAGTGCAGGATAACGTGTGCTTGCTTAAGCCTCCTGCTCTGGCATTCCAGTGAATAAACATGGCTGCTAAGCAGCAGCCACAGGCAGAGGCAATTACAACAGCTCAGCAACTCATTCAATATTATATTTTCAGAGCACACAGTGCCCTCAAATTTTACTTTGTGAATCTCAGAGTTGGTTCAGACCAGGGAATCAGGCTAGCTATTTTTTTTTGGTTCAGGTTCAGTGGCAATTGAAGTTATTTCAATTTCTTTCCAGACGATGGCCAGATCAACATTTCTCTTTCAGCATCACTTTAAAAAAAAACAAAACAAAGGGGAAGTTTTCTATTTAGGTTCAATAAAGACTTCACAATAGTGACTCAAAATTTTTTCTGTTTGAGAAAAAAAACCCAAAACAACAAAACAGCTGAATCAGGTTTTGGTTCAAGTTTTATTCAATTCCAAGTTACTTTGAAAAGCTAAGTCAGATGAAGTCTGAGAGTACCACAGAAAGGGTTCTGAGCAACTGGGACTAAAACAGGCCCTAGATAGCTTTTTTTCCACTACAATTCCTCCTTTCTTCATTTTGTTGAAGTTGTATATTACAGTTTGCTATGCAAGGTAATGTTCATCCGCTATTAGTTGTGATTGCACCAAAAGAAAGAACCCCCCAAAATGCTAAGCCTGGTCTACAGAGTTAAGCGTAAGTAATTAAAGGGTTTCACACTGACAAAGACGTGCAGGTCAAAACTTCACGTTTACATGAATGCCAGGGAAGTTTATGTTAGCTGTTTGTAACTTAAAGACCTTGGCTCTCTACATAGTCCAGAGTTTTTTTTTTTGTTTTGTTACTGAAGAGTAAATTCAGTGCTTCATCTTCTCCTGGCTGTTTAGGAGCATCAAGCAAGAAGAAGAAAAACAGACCTAAGCTACACATTTTTCTGTCTCTTATCCCCCTCCTTCCCATTTTCTCTTCATCTACCTTCATACTGAGGTCAAAGCAGCCTCATATCTAGGAAAATCCTTTTTATCTCAGCTACATTGCAAATTTTGGCTTCAATCTGGCAGTCCCACCTACACCAGTGGGAACCTAGACCTGGACGGATTCAGGTTTACCTTTTTCTTCCCTTCAGCATCCTCTCTAGACATTATTGAATGACACGTACAGAGGAAAATCAGATTTCAGATGGCACCAGATCCAGACCAGAAATTCGTATATTAATAGAAATTATTAATAGAATATATAATATTTAATATATAATATAATAATATATAATATGTAGACTATTTAGAATATATAATATTTAATATATAATATAATAATATAATATAACATTTGTATATTAATAGACATATTAATAGATTTGTATATTAATAGAAAAAGCATTCAAATTGGCCCCTTGCACCATACCATCTTCATTCTTAGGAATGCATTTTCTTCCAAACTGCACTGGAGAACTTGATGCTATTAATTTTAAAATGTGTATTATGTTAGCGTTGAAGTGCTTTTAGAGATCAAATCCTTGAAGTGCTACACACCATCTACTAGAGGATCTTGTAGAGCACTGAAGCACACAACAGCTCCATATCCATTTATTACTTTGTTGACCAGTAGCAAGACTGGGAAGAAAAGGTAGATTTTCTCATCCTCACTTTAGTTTTCTGTCTCTGGATTACACTGCTTTTTCAAATTTTTTCTGCTTTTTGGGAATGCATTTCCCCATCTCACAATTTTTTGGGGGCTGCTTACATTTTATTAGGAACAGAAGCATGTGTCCCATGGGGTAGAGAGGCAGAAACCCTGAGTCTCTTCCACTCTTCTTATTTTTATAGATGAACTTATAGATACAGCCATTCTTAAAAATTCATGCAAGTCTAGCTTGCAGTGAGATTCAGCTGTAGAAACAACATGACCTTTAATTATTTTCACTGATGGCTCTACTTAACATCAATAAATACCCTCCTTTTTTTTTGGTTTTCCAGTCACAAGACATTTCTTAGATTATACATAGCTATAAAACATTTTCAGGATTAAGCTGTTAGGAGCTGGGCTCTGAAGACTGATAGTTTAAGCCTGCTCCCAGTGTACTGTTACACTTAAATGTGTGTCATTAAAACATAGCTAAGTTAATAAAAAGGCTGCTGCTATGCTGCAGTATTTCTAACAATAGTATTTATTCTCCACTCACCCATTTATAAAATCTTCAAACATTTCAACAGGACCAAGAACTAGAACAAAATGACTTTTTATTATAGCAAAAAATGTCTGGCCTTTTTCAGCTAGGTAAAAGGTCATGAGAATTGTTCTCTCTTACCTTCCAAAAATGGAACCTCCCACAAGTTGGAGGACACCAAAGGTTGTCTGGAGGTAGCCAAAACCCACTGAATCCAAACCTATGCTCTTGGCCAAGTACTAAAAAAGAAAAAAAAAACCCACAACAAAATCAGTAGGTCAGAGGAAATGAGGTATGCTATATTTCTGAATAAAGACCTTACTGTTTTGGTTGAGAGGACTACAGCTCCAAACAAGCACTTCCTGCAGTTCCCCATACCTACAGATGAAATCTTCCTTGGTCAGACACAGGCTGCTGAATAAAGACCAAAGTCTCCATCTCACACCATCAGCTAATGAAAATCAGGGGGATGTGATCAAAACCATCAATTTTGTACCAGGTAACAAATCTGAATCACCCTTTACCTTTACAGTCCAACATAGCTGAACATATTCAACTACTGCTAAGGGGAATAAGGTAGATTTTAAACAGCTTTCCTGCCTCCAGACTCTGCACCTGGAGCAGCCCAAGCACCTCATGATGACTGTGGTAAGGTCCTGGAACTGTTGTTTAATCAAGCAAGATGGAATCATTGCAAGCACGTGGGCAAAATATTGCCTTTACTTATAATCTGGACAGTACAGCCATAACCTGGTCTTGCAAAAACCCCACAGATGCACACCTTGAAAAGACACAATCTTATGGGGTTTCTAATTTAAAAATGGTATGTTCAAGGGACAGCTAGTTCTGATTCATGGTTTTGTTTTATACCATCTGCTGAGAGCTGTTTAAAACTCTCAGCCAAGTTCAGCTCTCAGAATCTGTGGAGATGCCCCAATCTAGTCTGCTTCCACAGTAGATGCTATGCCCCCAGGTCCCCAAAACTCCCCTAAAAGATTGGTTATAAACTACACATATGTCTCATAAACAAACTCTCAGCCTACAGGCTGAGGGGACCATGGGCTTGTTTAGTCCCAGAAGAAGGGAGCAGCTTCTCTCTGGAGGCAAAAAAACCCAGCAGAGTTCTCCCAGAAAGCATGGGCTCACCAGAGACAGGTGAACAGGCATATCATATATTGCATAGGCATATCCAGGAGCTCACAAGAGCAGGAAAGCTGCCAGGGAGCAGGTAAAAGGATCTGAGGGCGTTAGTCAACAGCCAGCTGAATATGACCCAGCAGTGCAACCAGGTAGCCATTAACATCCTGACTTGCATCAGAAATAGTGTGGCCAGCAGGACCAGGGAAGGGATTGTCCCATTGTACTTGGCACTGGTGCGGCCACACCTTGAATACTGTGTTCAGTTCTGGGCCCCTCACTTCAAGAAAGATATCTGAGGTGCTGGAGCACACCCAAAGAAAAGCAACAAAGCTAGTGAAGCATGTAGAGCATAAGTTATATGAGGAGTGGCTGAGGGAACTGGGGTGGCTCAGGCTAGAGGATAGGAGGCTAAGCAGAGGTCCTATTTCTCTCTACAACTACCAGAAAGGAAGATGAAGTAAGGTGGATGTCAGTCTCTTCTGCCAAGTAACAAGCAATAGGACAAGAGGTAACAGCCTCAAGTTGTGCCAGGGGAGGTTTAGATTGGGTATTAGGAACAATTTCTTCACGAAAAGGGTTGTCAAGCACTGGAACAGGCCACACAGGGAAGTGTTGAGTCACCAGCCCTATAGGTATTTAGAAGATGTATAAATGTGGCACTTAGGAACATAGTTTGGTGGTGGACTTGGCAGCGTGTAGTTTATGGTTCAACTCAGTGATCTTAAGGGTCTTTTCTAATCTAAATGATTCTATGATTCTACAAAACCAGACTGTCCTGGGTTTAGCAGTAGCAGTCATTTTTTTTCTCCTTCTTGGTAGCCGGTGCAGCGCTGTGTTTTTGACTTTCGGCCTGGGAACGGTGCTGATAACACCGATGTTTTTAGTTACTGCTCAAATGTTTGGTCTAGCCAAGGACTTTCTGAGCCTCATGCTCTGCCAGGGAGGAGGGGAAGCTGGGAGGAAGCAGAGACAGGACACCTGACCCAAAGTGACCAAAGAGGTATTCCATACCACAGCACGTCATGCCCAGGATGTAACTGAGAGTTATCCAGAAGGGCTAGGACTGCAGGGTTGGACGAGGTATTGGTCAGTGCTCAGTCGGGTGGGGTGGGACAAGTTATTGGTCAGCGGGTGGTGAGGTGTTGTATTCTCTTCCCTTGTTATTTCCTTTATCATTATTATTATTGGTGGCAGCAGTAGTGATTTGTGTTCTACCTTAGCTACTAAACTGTTCTTATTTCAACCCATGGGAGTTGCATTCTTTCTGATTCTCCTCTCCGTCCCTCCGGGAGCAGGGGGAGGGCAAAAAGGGGGGGGGGGGGTGGGGGTGGGGGGGGTGGCTGTGAGGGAATGACTGTGATTTATGGCTGACTTTGTTTAAACCATGACACAGACAGAAAAGTCCAGTGAAAGCAAATGAATCCCAGTCATGGCTGGCTTATTACACTCTCAAAAAAACCCACCTCTGCTCTGAAACCAATGATTTCTGCTGCCTGCTCGTTGGGTCACCCTCCCACTACAAGCAAGAAGATACAAACCACATTAGTTCCACCCAGAGCCATCAGGCCAGGAAAGGTCTCTATTTGATACTGCAGTACAAATAATAAACTCACTTTTACTGCCTGGGCATATGCTGCACACAGTCACAGCTAGGTAGGAATACACTTTCCTCTCTCTTGCTAGAAAATCTCCAGATAGCTTTCCTGGAAAACTACATAGCCTAGCACTGAAGGCAAGACGCGCTGTGAAACAAGATAACCCATACTCACAGGCATGACTCCTATCTGCATGAAGATGAAGGTCAGCTCTATGGTTACAATCACATAGGCAGCAAGGATCACTTGTCCCTTTTTGATGTCTCCTGGGCGGCTGCTCTCCCCCAGGGTCTTGCTCCTCATTCCCAAGGCTTCTTCCTCACCTCCAGAGCTGACTTTTACATTCATAGTGCTCATGGAACAATTTACTGCAGGCTGATGGGCTGAGAAATGACACAAAGCTGCTTTCTAGCTGGGAACATAAAACATCAGTAAGGTGCAGAAACTGTTGCACGCAGTTCAAAGCTTACAGTTCAAAAGGTAGTGAGTCAGCATGACAGGGATTTATTCTTTCTTTCTGTCTTTGTTTCTTCCCTCCCCTTGCTTTCTTGCCAGGCAGGATTAAAGGTAGCCAGGCATCAGACCACAGATCTCATTCTTCAGCTTTTTCCCAGGTGGGCTCATTGCTTCAAGTACCATCCAAACGAAGACCAGCTTGAGAGTCCCAGCAGAGTGAAAGTGGACATTGACCCAGACAAGAACATGTGACAAAATCTTCAACTCTTTAACTGTTTAACTTCTTTCGCTTTTATTTCCTCTGGTGGCTCAGAAGAGATGACTGTTGTAGTTCTTCACAAAAGGCACTTTGGTTTTATTTTTGGAGGTTGCAAGTGAAGCTTACAACAGAATAGCTATTTCCAAGTCCTCTTGCTTCTTGCGGTAGATTTACACAGATCCTAGAACAAACATAGACCTTACATGCAGTTAGAGGTGCTCTCATCAACATCTCTACTTGAGCCATTTTCCCTCCTTCACCAGGTGCTGCAAATTTATTAGAGACTGAGCTAGCAAATGTTCACATGTGATTTCACTCAGAATACAAATTACCAGCCAATGCCAGAAAAAAAAATAATAAAGCATTAAATCCACACAAATCATGAGGCTGACTGCAAAGTGGGGAATTAAATAAACACAACTCATTTGTCATGTGGGGGTTTTATTTGCTTGCTTGCTTGTTTACTTAGGGTTTTGTTTGTCTGCTTGCTTGTTTACTTGCTTAGGGGTTTCTTTGTTTTCTTACTTGTTGAATCCTGGTTTCTTGCTTGTTGAATTCTGGTTGAGCATTGTCTTTATTTTAAAGAGAAAAAGAAAGCAGAGGTCTCAATGCTCTGATTTTGTAGAATTACAGGACTTTTGGTAGTAAGGGATCTCAGGAGATCTCATCTGCTCTCCTGCTTGAATATATCAGCTGAGCTGTGGCTTTTTCTAGATAAGCTTTGAAAATCTCCAAGAAAAGAGATCTGCCCCTTCATTGAGTATGTGGAAAGAAGGTTTTCTTAATGTGCAATCTGAATTTTTCAAGCTGTGGTTTGTGGCCATTGTCTCTCATGGTATCACCTGCCACTACCAAGAGGAGTCTGTCTGCATCATCTCTGGAGTTGTCCTTCAAGTAGTTGCAGGTGGCTGTTGGGTCACCCCAATCTCCTTTGCCAGACTGAACAAGCCAAATCCCCTCCACCTGTTTCAAAGACTACATACTCTAGATCCCTGACCTTCCTTGTAGCCCTTCAATGGGTCCAACCCAGTTTGTCCGCAGCCCTCTTGAACTGGGAGGCCCAAAACTGGGTCAGCCTCAACAGCACCAAGCAAAGGCAGACTAACAACTCCCCTGTATATTCTGAGCATGCTCTTCCTCAAATGGTCCATTACATACTTTGCCTTATTCCTGATGAGCATGCACTATTGGTTCACACAGCATCACCATCACCCATGGCCTTCATGCTAGGCTTGCTACACGTCCAGTTGGTCCCCAGCTGTCATTGATGCAGGTGGATATTCCACCCCAGGCTTAGGGCAAATTGTCCCTAATTTCAACTTGCTGAATACCCTGAGGTTTTGGTTGATTCAGCTGTGACGCTTCAAGCAGACTCTCCAGTACTGACCATATCAGCCAGTCCCTCTGATTTAGTAACACCTCTGCTCAGAAATGGAGGGCCGACTCACTGTGAAGGCTGACACAGGCACATCAATACAGGGACACAACACAGACATTTGCTGGCTTGGATCCAGCATGGTTGTCAGGGCCTCCACGCTTCTGACCAATCCCTGGGAGAGGGAACTGTAAGATCTCTGGGCACACCTTGTTATTCAACATGTCACCACAGAGACCCAGGATTTGGTGAGGGCTGCCAGGCCCTCCTGGCAAAGGAGGGAGGTGACCAAACGTTTAATGTTTTACCAGGGGTGGGTACCATATCTCTGGAGGCTGAACAGAAAAAACCTTTTGCAATCTCAGCCAGTGCATTAATAAAAAAGCGCCTTTAAAGAATGACTTTCCTACAGGGATACCAGCACTCAAACAGACCCAACAAACAATGCCCTAGAAGTTGTACCTGTTACTGAAGAAGGAAGATTACCCAGTGTGTATCCCAACTTAACAAAGGATCAGTGCTCAACATTTGGTTCATCTCAGGGTGAAACAATGGATTTGCCTGCACTTGAACATCCTGCAGCACAGCACCAACATCATCACTCTCTGGTTTGTGCTGGACAGGCATGCTTTACAAATTACCAACATTGAATAGAAGAGTAAAATTAATGACAGAACTCTGTTTATGAGGGTTTCAAGACAACCAAAAAAGCAACTCATGCAAATGCAATGTAAAACACTGCTTACGGGAAACATTGCTGACTTGGACTTGAAAAGCATCAATGTTTTGACTGGTGAGTTTGTCTCAGAAGCAACTGGAAACAGATCCCAGCAAGGCTACAGAGGGAAACAATGACTTGCAGATGCAGCCACTTGCCACCAGATCGAGCTTCATCCTGCCCAGGGCATGCAGTGCAGACAGCTAACCACTCAGATTTAGCTGTTTTTTACTGGCATTGACAAGGGAAATAGAGTAAAAAAAAACAACCCTGGAGTTCAATTTTCAGCTTCAGGGGTAAGAGCCACAGTTCTGAAAGACAGGGACCTAAGCTCAATGCCTGCTATGGAGGTGACCATGGAGAATGAGCTATGATCACCAGATTTAGGGTATGCACCCACACCTGTGGCAAGTGTGAGAGCTGGCTGGAAATGCCAGAGAAAGAATCACTGCCTCTTGGGTATAGCAGAGCCCTCATTTCCCTTTGCAAAGAGAAACTGCATTTCTATGGGCTGTGTTGTGGCAGTGTTCCAGGAGGATCATGGGGTGCAAGATGAGTAGTTACAAGTATACCTCATCTTCCTGCCCAAGAAGAAGCAATGATAACCCTTCCCTTCCTTGCAAGAGGACCCCACGGCCCCTCTACCATAAGGTGTGCAGATACTCAATGAGAGACATGTAAAGCCTTTATGGATACATAGCCCTTAGGGAGCTATGGTTCTGGTGATGTTTCTTAAGATTTACAATACAAGAGAGGAAATGGAAGAACTATCTCAAAGCAATTCCCCAACAGTGGGAATGCTGAACTGCCACAATGAGGGAAACCGCTTACTTAACACCAACCATGGTTGGTGGGAGCCATCAAATCCACAGGATCCATGCCTAATGCTTCTCTTCCCTTGACCCTGACACTGAGGGAACCAGCCTCATTTGTAGTCTGGTGAAAGATTTATACAGTTAAGCAAATAGAAGCATAGACAGCCTGGTAATACCAAAATTATTTCCCATATTTGTTGACTGATTTATTCCTTTGTCTAATTGTGAAAGCAGCTCACTAATGAATGGAAAAAGACTCCACATGGCCAGCAAGAGCGAGCCATGTTTAGTTTACAAAATAGCACAGTCTTTGGGGGATTTTCATAAAAAACAACAGAGACAGTCCAAATCGGCAATGAAATCAGATTCCCGGTGGCTGCTGAACTCCTGGCTTTTTCTATGTGTGTATTAAATTACAAAAAGCAATTATTTATAATTTGTTTTTATAAAAATGCTGGTGCGCTTATTCTGCCTGGCAAATTATTTTGTGAAATGGAAAAGGCTATTGTTCATTCTTTTGGTAAAGTCTTTGTTATTTAGCATATTAAACTGAAAATGACATTTTATCTGAAATATGGCTGGCTGTTATTAACTTTTTAAATGGTAAAGTCCCAAAGCTCCAGCTAATATCGAGGCCTCTTTTCATGCTCTGTGAACAAAAAAAGAGGTTGAGACTCAGATGAGGAAAAAGAATTACATCCTCTTTGTCTTGCAGATGGGACCCTAACAGAGGGGTTTAATGACCTCCCTGAAATCACAGAGGAAGTCTGCGGAGGAGGCTGGAGTCAGACTCTATCATCCTTTGGATGCCAGTCCCATTGTTTAACCACAGGGCAGTTTCTCCTCTCTAATATTCTGGAAAAATTAAACCAAAAGAGAACATTTCTGAATGCTGGAATTTGACAACAAAATATGCAGATGGGGCAGAGACTGTGTCAATTGTATAAGAGTTTTGGAAAAAACCTGTGGCCCAAATTCAGGAGAGTTACACCAAGAATAACATGCCCAAATAGGAAGAGAAAGCTTAGTTATTTGGGCCCATCCAGTCTCATTGGCTCCAGCAGGATCTTCTCAGGGAAGGAGCCTCTTGTACCTCCTCACACTGAGTGGCACCTTGCTTAGGATGACCTCAGCTCAGCCAGAGGACACACCTCTGGAGTCATAGCCCAGGTACTGCTATGGCTGTGGCCTACCTCTACCCCAAAATCTCTCTTGAGCAAACAGAAGCCCCTCAAGTTTCAGTGAGCAGCTTCCATGCAGTGGAGAAGGGCTGCTGGGCTGGCCTGACCTTCTCCTTCAAGCCAAGACATCAAATGACACCAGCCTCTACTGGTCCACTATGCTAGGACATTAAAGAATCAGCAAGATAAAAATGTCTTCCCTTAGTGAAAGCCCAGGTCTGCTGTGTAAACTCTCTCCTGGGCAATGGATGATCTCCCCTGGACTTGCCATTCTTCCTAATGCTCAAGCCACACTTCTTGTAAGCAAGCATGATACAGCCATATATGTAGGAAACTGATTAAAGGAGTGGTTATATCACTGGCTTCTGGGGAGGGTCCATGCAAAACTGCACAGGCTAATAAGCAATGATGACAGCCCAAAAGCAGTGGATACTTCTGCGGCCTCTGTGGTTGTGTCTTCAGCTTACTGGCATGTTGGCGTGATTGAACTCCAGACGACTCACTGTTGGATAACGGATGAAGCCCTTGTCTCCAAGATACACACAGTGCACTGGAAGTCCAAGGTTTATAGCCAAAGAATATGCTAGATGTGACAAAACCGGATAGACACACACACAAATAAAGCCTCATACTTAGCCTGCAAAATGCAGTATTTCATTCAGTTGGTATTATACAGCCACCTTCTGGAATCACAGCTATGTCTGGAATGTAAAAGCTGTTTATCATTTAAATAACATTTAAGCCATTATAATTTATATGAGAATTGTAACTGCTGGGGCTGTATGGAGCTTCTTGTTGTGGTTTGCCATAGGAATGCTGCAGATTTCCTCTGCACACATTACATTCTGCACACAATGAGAGCCCCAGACATTTTCAGCCAGTCTTGAGCCTCCTGCATTTACCAAAACATTTTCCTGTGTCACAATCAAACAATTGCCTGATTTGTAACTCTCAAGCATTCAAGAGGCCACAGCAACACAATGTTACAAGAATCTCTGTTGTTTAGCCTTCCAGCAAAGCCATACACAGCACAAACGAAGTATGGATGTTAATTCAGTGTTTCTGCTAATGTATG